GGGAGAAAGTGAGTAGAAGGTAGGCTGGGGAGTGTTTTAGGTTGAGAAGATCAGAGAGGTGGTAGTTAGTAGATCAGAGAACAGGAGATGGTCGGTCAATTATGTAGCAACCACAAAATGCTTGTCATGTATTTTTCAAGGTATCCTTTTCTGATTATTAAAATATAGAGAAAAATCATTGCAGGCTTGCTCACAGAACACATGCAAATGAAATCTGCCCTCCTGAAAAGGATTCATTGGAAGTTTTCAGAACAGCAGTGAAAAATTTTAATTCAGACAATAGCTAGAAATGGATAAATAGTTCTTTTGTGACTATCATTCTCCCTTACAAAATGTGTTAACTACCTATGTTTTGCATTTCCTGATGTATAGGCAAATTCATGAGGTCTTTCATGAATTTAGATGTCAGCTATTTAATATCATTTTATTAAAAATGGATTCTAAATAATACTGAGTGCAAGAATTAGAGACAACAAAAGGAGGAGGGTTGGCTGCTTCTGGGCACTCTCTGTAGAGGACCCACTGACTGGTTTTCCTTTCTCATTCCCAGATATCCAGGAAGGGCTCCATGACATGAAGATTTCTGGCACTGTATATCTTCCCATGGAAGTGTCAGCTCAAACTATAGAGCTCAATTCTTGTTATGTCTTTATTACATAACTTAGTTTCACACTAAATCCATCTGGTCAATATTCCTCCCAGAAAGCCTTCTAACTTGTCTCCTTCATTCTAATGACTCACAATTACAAACTCGAACATTAACCCCAAGGCCCTAACCCCAGTACCTTCTGCACTCTCTCTGATCTGGCAGATAGCTTCATCCTCAGCTCACTGTCCTCAACCCTACCAATTTCTCCTACCCCCCTGGTTGGATCTTTTATCTTCTATGGATCCTCACCCATAACTTTTAATTCTTTGTTCTTCTCTTTATGCCACTTATCCTACCATACCTTGATATCATACTTCGTCACAGAGTGGTTTGGGGCCCCAATCTCAACCCCCTTCCATATACTTCCACTCGTTGAGAGCAGGCCCCAAATTTCACTTACTAGAACATAAGCTCCACATCAACAGAGCACATGTATTACTCATTGTTGCATCTACTGCCCAAAATAGAGACTGACACAAATGCTTAACAAATATTTGGTGAATGGATGGATTTATCCTTTAATTCTCCATGTGGCCCAGTTCTGTATTTTGTGCATAACTGATCCTTTATAAACAGTTGTTGAATCAAATTTACCCAATTAAGAGTTACCTGGCTCTAAAACATAGGGTCTAGTATTTTATAAATTTGAGTTACAGGTCACCAAGAAAAATTCATCTAAAGTAGTTTCCTGACCTTTTTAAACTACATAATAAAGACATCTCTTCCTGAGATGGGACTTTTTCTTTCATGAACTTCCCTAATGAGGCCTAAGTCATACCATCTGATTATAGACCAGAGCCAAGAATTATACAATTTTAAGTTGAAAAAAACTTCAAAAATGCAAACACCTTGTTTTACAACAGAGATCAAAAAAGGTCAAAAGAATTAAAAAGAAAACAAAAGACATGCTGCATTACAACTTAATTCTCGTGCCTTCCATTTCAGGGTTTTCCTGCAACAATCTGTTTTTGAGTACAGACAATGGAAAATGTGAGGAAAAATCATGGCATAGAATGACCAGATCTGGATATCTTAACACCAAATCTATAGGTATCTGTCTACATAGCACAAAATGTAAAACTATCCCTTCAATTTCTCCACATTAGATATAAAGGAGGGAACCATAACTATGGGCTTATTATGTCCTGTTCTAACCAGCTGAATCAATCTGACACACAATACTGGTTGAAAAGATCCACTGCCCTGGAAAAATACTATCAAAATTTTGTAAATATTATGAACTTTATAGATTCTGTTGTTACAATTACTAGGAAACATTTTGTACATCACTCTCTCACTCTCCCACTACCAGTGAGTTAATAGCCAAAATTGTTTTCTTCTTCTCTTTCACTTAAAAAAATTGTACATGTCTGTATACACACACACACACACACACAGTTGTATACTAACTTTGGTTATTCAGATAAGATGACATTATTTTGAGATTCTGGTACTTTATGTACAAAATCCCCTTGGAAAATTCCAAGACAAATCTCAGATTATATGAAACTCATTATTATAGTGAAGTTCCTATGTAACTGAGTAGAATTTCAGACTTATAAATTATGTCTATAGACTTATAATTATATTTTTATATTTTACATATTTACATTTACATTTATTTTAAAGTTTCCCCTCTTAAATGGAAGCCACTATAGAAATAAAAATGAAGTAAAATTTCTATTTAAAATGTTCTGTTGTTCCATTGACTTAATAAAATCCTATTTCTGATATCAACAATATGTGTAATCCTTTCTCATTCACTCTCTGTGATCAAGCCTACATGCATACATATTTATGCATATATTATTTATAATTAATCATAAAAGATACTTGAGCTTTCTAAACAATTATTTCTTTGTATCAAATCAACTGACTAAATTTCAACCTTAAGTTTCTTTTCAAAACAGATTAATAAAGAAACACTTCGAGTGCCTATGTTGTGATAGACATGCATTTATTCATTCAACAAATGCTTACTAAAAGCCTTTGTGAATCTTGCGCCCTGTTGTAGGAACTGAAAATAGATAAAACAGATGGTCATGCCTTTGCTATGATGGGCTTATTTCCTACTGGGAGACATGAAAGAGAGAGAGAGATGAAAAAATAACTCTAGGTAGTAATATGCACAATGAAAAAACACTCCAATGAGACAGTGACTGGGAGTGTGCTCATCTTTAGAAAGGGTATTTCAGGGAAAGCACCTCTGAGGAGGTGACATTTGGTTCTAGACCTGAAAGAAGAGAAGAAACCAACCATATAAAGATGAACATTCTGAGTATAGTGCCCAACAATACAATTGTTCTGAGATCTGGCCTCCTTGAGGGACAGTAAAGAGCAAGGCAAGCAAAGAGAAAGGAGCCGGAAATCAAGGGGAAAGATAGGTAGGGGCCAGATCATATCAGACCTTATACGCTGTGGTAAGGAGTGTGAACTTTATTCAAAGGGCAATGGATTACTACTGGAAGGTTTTGATCCAGGCGTGAAATGATCTTACCTAAAATTTAAAAAATTCAGTTTGTCTGCATTGCAGAGTAGGAGATGAGCAGGGAGACCAGTCAGGAGGCAGATGTAGCAGAGAGAGAGAGAGAGAAGTAGACAGAGTCAAGCTGTAATTTGGAGGTAAAAATGCCAGGATGTGAAGATGAGGGAAGCAGAGGCACTGGGTTTTTAGCATGGAGCAACTAGGTACATGGTTGCACAATTTGTTGGATGGGGAAGACTGGGGGGAAAAATGATGGAACACATTCAGATCTCCACTTTAGATGTATCTAAACATCCAAATAATCATCCAAAACAGACAGATGTACTCAGTCAGATTTTTAAGAAGCTCCTTTTGCGATAAATTAATGATAAATTATACACCTGACCTTTGAACAACATGGGTTTGAACCGTGCAGGTTCACTTATACACAGATTTTTTTTTTACAGGATTCTAGTTAAATGTATTGTCTCTTCCCTAGGATTTCTTAGTAACATTTTCCTTTCTCTAGCTTAGTTTATTATAAGAATCCAATATATAATACATATAAATACAAAATATGTATTAATTGAATTTAAATTATCTGTAAGGCTTCCAGTCAAGAGTAGGCTCTTAGTAGTTAAGTTTTTAGGGAATCAAAAGTTATACACACTTTTTTGACTACCCAGGGTATCAGTGCCCCAACCCCTACAGTGTTCAAGGGTCAACTGTACATATATATATATAGATAGATAGATAGATAGATATACAACTACGGAAATAGAACTCTTCTAATTTTGGAGATATTAGCATGCGAATGGTATTTAAAGCCAAAGAAAAGCTAGGGAGACAATGTAGGTAATGAAAAGGAAGAAAGCTGAAGATTAAGCCCAAGGCACACAAACACTTAACTGTTGGTCGTCAAGGACAAAGACTCAGGGGCCAAAAAGAAAGGAATACAAACAGCCTATGTTATTGCAAAAGTCAGGTGAAAAAAATGTTTATTGAGGAGAAGTGATTGACTATGTCAGGTGTAGCTGAGAGGCTTAGTAAGATTAGGACTGAAAATGGACCAACCATTGAATTTAGCAACACGGTGGTCACTGTTAACTTTGAGAATCACAGAGAAAATGGATGTTCAACTGGAGAGAAGTGAGGACAAAATGAGAAGGTAGGAGGTAGAAACAGTAAGTTTTTTTTTTTTTTTTAATTGTGCTAGATGTTATTGAGGATGATAATATCGCACGGTCCTTATTTTCAAAGAAGGCCCTTAATGTGTACGAAATCTTTCATCAACAATCTCTGAAAAATATATTTTTGATAAAAAAGCGGTTTCATTTATATTAATAAGCACCTTGCAAAGCCTGTTACTATAAAAAAGGAAAAAGCTAAGTTAAATAACATATTTTATTAGGAACACAAAATCTTCAATGCATCAACAATTTTGTCATCAGATTTTGAGATTGTGTACAAACTAAAAATAAATTTTATACATCACTTCACAAATTAAAATGCTCACTGTTCAGAATATGATTATTCAAAAAAGAACTGTAGACATTTTCTTTGTCCTATTTCTAAAATCTTCCTAGACAGGATGTTAGACAGCTACCACATATAATATGTGTGAATTAAATAAGATAAAATGTGTCCTTTGCAATAAAAAGTCTGAGGTTTTATGTAATTACAGGCATGTGAATGAATAGTTTAGAATAATGTACCACTGTCATCAAATCACATCTTCATATACATGTATAATCCATTTTGCACAATGGTTTCAATTCAGTGTGTATGTAATTAAATTGTAAGGTACAGTAATAGCTGCTGCTGAGTTGAAATCTTGCTTTTTTAAAGAAATGAACAGAAAACATAGTCTCGTGAACATCAAAGTACCTTTTTGAGACAGTTAAATCTCATCAAAGAGGTCTTCTGAACTACTGTTTCTTAGAGTTTCTAAAGACATGTTTTCAGCTGAGCTGTGCTCCTTTTTTGACGTCTCAGGTAGTGAAGGATCAAGCCTAGAGTAAAAAAAAAATCAAGAGAATTTTATTCTAGAGAATGCCATATAGGGTAAAAGAAAATTAAGAGATACATAAGTGAAATAAAAGTTAAATTCTATTTCAGAATTGGTTTAGAGACTCATTTCCCTACGCTGCATTAATATAAAAAAAAGAGATGAAGAGAATTTAATTAACTGCTTTTGGATTAATCTGTCTCTATTCTGAGCTAACAAAAATTTAAGGGCCTACAACAATACTCATAATTAAGGTCAAGAAACAAAATATCCTCTGTGTAGTAAGCCTTTTTATGCCAAGATACAGAAGGTCTCTCAACCCATTTCTTTAATAATCCCATCACAATTTACATCTTCCTTTGGCTCCCTTAAATTCTACCTATTAACATGTATTTTAATCTCTTAATATCAGAAAGTTCTGATCACATGAATTTCCTTTAGTGGTCTTTCGATTATAAGTGTATATAACTGATAACGACTTCACATTTTAGCAGTTGTTGGTGAAATGTTGGTCCACATTCACTTACTGAATTTACATATCTTTATTTAATAACTAAATTTTATTCCATTTCAGTATTGGAGTTACCACATCAATGGGCTGATCTCTGTATTTATGTAAATGTTCTCTTTGAGTCCTAGGATAAAAGGCATGATGATCCCAGACTGTTAACTGGACTTATAAAACGGTAAGTTGCAGGGTAACAGCTCAATCAGAAGGACTCTTGTATAAACCTTGTCAGTGGTTCTTTGTGGAACGTAAAGAAAACATGCTTAATATTGACAATTAGAGGTGGCTTCAGGGGCAGTTATGACTAGGCTGAGTCAAGCCACTAAAACTCAGTAATGCCCCCATATTTCCAACTTAAAAGGCAGAGAGAGAGTCATAGCAGCTGGGTATAGCTGAAAGAGAATGGTACTTGAAGTCCAGACACCTACATGTGGATCCAGGTCTATTTCTTCTTAGCTCTGTGACTTTAGACAAGTCATTTAACCTAACTAGATTTCTGTTTTCTCACCTGTAAAGCTGGAATAATATCTGCCTCAGAGGTGGTCTAAAGATTAAATGAAGTATCATATATGAAAATGCTTGTAAATTCCCACAAAACGTTTGGAAACTATTATTATTAGCCTCTACGACTGCATAAACTACAAAAAAAAAAAAAAAAAAAAAGCTCAGTCTAACAGCTTCTTTAATTTAAAAGGATAACCAATTAAAAATCCCCAAACACTGACTTTGTTTAGATTATGAGTATTTCAAAAATCCAGCACCCACACTTAGTCGCAACAGATTATCAAAAATGAATCTGCCACAGGGTCCTCCTTGGCCTCCCGGCTGCATACAATTAACCGTGGTTGGCTGCCACTAGACCTGCGATGTGTTCTGTCTTATCCTGAGCAAGCCAAGTTCAGACAACGTTACGCTCACAGGAATGCCAGGGTGCTAGGCATTACTGCATTATCAAGATGACAAGTCCTCCCTCTGGGAACTTCAATGTTAAAATTAACAATAAATACGGACACAATTATTGTAACGTGTAATTAAATATCTAAAAATATATTTCATAGGAGAAAATGATACAGTACAGAATAAAAGTATAATTATTACATGCATAAGTTTTCAATGTCAACTCAACACATTTAAACATTTTTCTCTGGCCCCAAATGTCTCAGAGTTGCTTTTTCTCCTCCTGGCAAAATGGAGAATTGATTTTTTTTCAATTAAAAAGTCAGACCTTGAAAAATCTCTGATTTTGTTCATAGTTTACAGCCAGAACACAGAGATCAATCGGTTTAGTTTAAAGAAAAAAAACTGGCATAAGACAAAAGGTCCACTCTGAAGTGACAAGTCTGAAGGACATGGATCCCTATTGCTCCATTTATGATTCCCATCTCTATCTAAAGTCACAAGGAGCTCAAGAATTAGATTCTGACTCTTTTGTTTTTAGTGCCTAGTACATAACAGATGTTCAACAAAAGTTGTTCAATGAATGGAGATCATTTTTCTACAGCTTTTTTATCTGTGGTAAGTCAACAGAATAAATTTAGAACTCTTCCCACAACCAAAAGAAAAGTTTAATCATTTATATAAGTAATAAATACTCTAAGATTTCTTATAAATTCTAAAAAGCATAAGAAGAAAATAAAAATGTCCATCATTCTATTTTACATTATTTGTATTTTCATGGTTTTCATTTTCACACAAATGGGATCATTCTGAAATACATAATTTTGTTTTTAGAGAATTTTTTTTTACTCTACACATTAGCAAAGTCTCTGCATGTTAAAAGATACATATCTACATTAATCATTCATTTTATTTTGGTTGTACTAACCATTAATCTACTGATGGATATTTGGGTTGTTTCCATTTTTTAACGCTCTTATAAACAACAAAACAATTAATATCCTTAAACATATATCTTAGCATATTTATCACATTATTTTTTCATGAATATGCTTATTCCAAGAATTCATGCTTAGAGGTGAAATTTGAAAGCAAATAGCTCAGAGAATCTGTATCTAAAGTCTTAATAGAAAGTGAGCTAAACAAGTAATTTGAAACTGTTGAAACTTGGGAGTTCCACCATAACATTAATTATGGCCATTTTAAGTCATAAATGTTCCACAAAGACTTTCCAAATTCAGGCTGATTTTTCTTTTCTTTAATCATTTAAAGTAACTAATGTCTTTATCCTGTATTTCAATATATAATTTTATTCATTTAATCAATATTTGTTTAGTATGTACTATGAACAGCTCATTGTGTTAGGGGAATAAAACAAATTGATAAAGTTATCAAATGATTCTTGCCCTCAAGAAGCTTTCAGTTAAACTTTTTGCTTTTTCTCATTTTTAAAAAATGTGTCTTTTCATCCTAAAAATTTTGTAAGTAGCTTGAAGTAACTATGTAATATAATTTGCTCACAAACAGTGATTTATCCTTTTAGGAATCTCTATAAACATTGTATCAAGATTTAGGACTCAAGAAGATTTTTTAGATATTTTTTGTGGAAAACATTATTCAACAGGAGGAATTCTGAATCCAGGGTCAAGGATTTTTATTTATTCTTCATCACTTTGAGATTTTGGTCAGGTGACTGCACTTTTCTGGATCTCAGTTTCTGAATTTAATTTGTGGGAAGTTAGGATTACTATAAATGATCTTGGAATTCTTCCAGTTCCTGAATTCTGAAACAGTTATACTCAGTTGAGCATAGGCTACCTTCCAAAACATAGGTTCTCAATAAATATCTGTGGAATAAGTAAATACTGTAAATTAAAGATGAATGGCTAATGACAGGAAGAAACCACCTTTGTAGAGCTTAATGCTTAAGTATAAGGACATTTTTAAATGAAGAGAATAAATGAAACTAGATGATGACAGCTTTTACTAAAAGAAGACTTATGTTCTCAATAACACAACTGCATAGATTTCTGTTTTATTAGCTTGATTTCACACTGTATGACAACACACACATATACACAACTACACAGGAACTACATTCTGAATCAAAACATCAAAACTGCATGACCACCATCTATTAACAATGAACAATGTAGATCAAAAGTTAGATTTGTCAAAAAATGTATCTCATCCTGGGAAAGTCTCTCTAAAATGTTTGAATGAAGATTGGCTTCTCTTTTAACTATCTGGGAGTTGAATTACCAACATCTTTTGAAATGTTATTTCCAGTTACTGGCTCATTTTGTAAGGGCATTTTCTCAGCCTAGTTTAATACTGGTGTTACCATGGCTGGAATATCAACCTTTTCTTACTCAAATGAGAAACATTAATATACTTTGGAGTGAATTACTTGCATTTTGTTACATATTCTGAGAATAATATTCCTGAAACACGTCAAGGTGCCAAGCTGAGCAAAATGAGAGATCCAGAAAAATGTGAAATGATTAATGGCACTGGGACACTTGAAAAATCATGCCATTCGACTATGACACATATAAAAAATCAAAGGTCAATTTTTATGTGGCCTAACTATCTCTCTACCCACACAATACACCCATAAAATTCAGGAGAATGTCTTTAGGATCTTAGGATAGATAAGTTTTGTTTTGTTTTGTTTTTTAAGCAGAAAGGGAAACCATGAAGATTGATCAATTCAATTACATTAGAAGCATTAGAAGCAAATACTTCTATTAATCAGTAGATACCTTAAAGAGAATGAAAAGACAAGTTACAAACTGAAAGGAGATATTGCAACATATGCTACTGACAGAGGATTACTATCTAAAACTCCTATAACATTTTAAAAATCCAACATAATTTAACAATGTTGCCAAAGACCACAGAACTTCCACGAGAAGGGAACAGTGGGGGCAAATAAGCATATGATAATAAACTCAACTTCACTGGTAACCAAGGAAATGAAAACCACTATGAAATATTTTACACCAGATTAGCAACAATGAAAATGTTCAACAATAGCAGAGATCGTGGAGGACATGGACTATAACAAGATAAATTACTACTGGTTAGAGTATAAACAGTGAAATCATTTTTGGATAACAATCTGGCAACAACTACCCAGGTATATGGAGACCTATATACGTATACCCAGGAATTCCACTCCTACACACACATTTTTTTTTTTTTTAAAGATTTTATTTATTTGACAGGGAGAGACACAGAGAGAGAAGGAACACAAGCAGGGGGAGTGGGAGAGGGAGAAGCAGGCTTCCAGCGGAGCAGGGAGCCCGATGCAGGGCTCGATCCCAGGACTCTGAGATCATGACCTGAGCCAAAGGCAGACGCTTAACGACTGAGCCACCCAGGCGCCCCGCTACGCACACATTCTAAAGAAACATTTGCATATCTATGTCAGGAGATATGTGCACAAATGTTCATTGGTGCATTTTTTTTAATACTGAAAAACTGAAAACTACCCAAATGTTTCTCCACAGGAAAATGGGCAAATAAGTCACAGAATTTTTACACCATGGACTACGATAATACAGCTGTACACATGAATGAATCTCAGTGTTGAA